CACATTTATCTGTATACCGGTAGGCCCCTAATGTAAGGGGGAAATGTTACGTACAGTTCAGATCTAGTTATCCCTATATAAAACTTTCCAACATTCCAATCCATCTTTCTTAAGCCTGACAGTGTGCTTGAGTACAAAGAAACCAGATCTGGATTTTGAATCAGTACTGTTTTCTTGTACTTAGATTTTTAAATCTGAGTCTGGATTCTTAAAACCATGAATCCACCTTCAGTGGTGGTTCATTTGGATTTTGGATACCTAAAAATGTTTTGACAAGATGGAGCTAGTGTCTTATTTATGTGGGAATTTCTAGTCATCTTCATAGTAGATCAACAAATTCAAATGACTCTGTTCATACAAGTCATTCTATAAAATAAAAATACCACAATTTAATATTATCGCTGATGACATCAATCACAAAAACCCAGACTTCTTTTCTTGTGTTTTATTATTTCAGTTAGATACACAAATGTGACTTTTCAATCTAGATCTGGTGGCATAAACTTTCCACTTTCTCAAGATGACAAGCCTTTGTGAGACTTATTTTCAATGCACAGAATTCTGGCTTGGATTTTTGGTCTGGCATAGTTTGGTGCATGGTTATTATCTCTGGTAAGACTTTAAATGTGATATATCCAAAACATTAACACAGTTGAACTTTGGTATCTCGAACACCAATATCTCAAATATCATGGATAATTATGTTGAAGGGAATTGGAAGTCCCAATCACTTATTCTTTAAGTAATCCTCTCCATATCTCGAAGCCTCGGATATCATTAAGTTTTTTCTTGGTCCCATCCAGTTTGAGATAACGAGGTTTGACTGTACTTACAACCAGTACTAGTATAGTAATAGAGTAATAATAGAGTATGTAAAGCTGGTTTATCATATAATATTTTTCTGAGAAGGCCCGGCCTGCTCTTACTCAAACCCAAGATCACTGATGGATTATGCCTAGATTATATATTGTATCCTATCATCTATTTTTGTATTTGTTCCCATGTTGTACCCCATGGGGCTATGATTTGAAAGACGCTTGAATCTAAACACTATGCATGAATGCTTGCATATAAATATAACTACCAGTACTTGTAATCCTTGCCATTTTTATAAGATGATTTTTAGAAAATTTCCATGTAAAAATATGTCCCTCTTTTGTGGTCCCAGCCTAGTCAAAGGGACTATGATTTGACCAACTCCCCGAGGATATCTACATTTAACTTATTGTGGCACATATTTTTTTTTCTATTGTGATAAAGAGTTTTATATGTTGCTAAGTAAATGCGAAACCAAAGTAAATTTGATTTATATTATCACCCATTTCAGTACCAGTCACAGTTAAGCCTACCAGTTGGATGCACAATTTGTTATGGGGAAGTTGGGTTTGGATTCTTATTCCTGGTGCCATGTCAAACCTAAGATATTTAAAGTAGGAAGTAAATGTTCTTTCACATTTCAAACCTAAGATATTTAATATTGGGAGTGACTGTTTCTTCACCAAGCATTAGAAGTGAAAGTCACAGGTCTTTAGGATGAGACCTTTTAAACTGACGTTCAGTGTTATGGTAGGTGTTAAATTGGAATGATAAAGAACCCTTACTTCTATTGTTGTGTCATGCATAGGTGAAAATTTGTAGCAGGTACTTCACCTTAAACAGATGATATGAGTAAAGACTTCTCCAATGGGACTTTAACAACATAAATCAATCCAACAATCAATGTTAATTGTGACCCTAGTCCCAAGGGACATGATTTAATTTGAATCTATACAATGTAAAGAAGTTTTTGCATAAGTGCTTTTTCTGGCTCAGTCAGGTTGAGACTAAGGAACCTCATTATCTCAAACTTGATGGGACCTAGAAAAAATTTTGTGATATCCGAGGGTTCAAGATATCGAGGGTAAAATACTTAAGAAACATGTGGTAAGGACTTCCCAGTCACTTCGACATATCCATGGTATTCAAGATATCCGTGTTCAACTGTATATGATATGAATCCATCATATTTTACCATTTATTGATTATCCCTGTTTAGAACATGGTGTGCCTTTCTTTGAGTAAACATGAATTCTCTTTACCTAATGAATGTTTTGTGTGAAGTTTTATTTGAATTGCACTCTTGTTTTTGGAGAAAAATTGAAAATGTGAAAAGTTAATAGAAAATAACTAAATAGATGTCTTTGAAACGTTGATCAGAAAACCTCAATTTTAGCTATTTAAAAAAAACTAAATCAGGTAATGAAATTAATACATTGTAATTAATCATATTTTAATTCAGTGGAATATATCTTATCAATGTATTCAAGTAGCAGCATAAAAACATGAATACATGTATTATATAAATCTCAAACTAAACAGAAATACTGGTAATCGTTCCATAATTTAGAGGTAGATTTTGTTCTGTTATACATGATACAACTTTTTCCCTGTATTATTTCAGTACTGAATGATCAAATAAGCTTATTACATGTACATGTTTTGATACAGAAAACCTCTTTTTTTTGGCACCAATGGGAAAGAGTGTTGGTATGTTATATAGTATATATACAAAAAAAAGGAGTAGCTAGAGTTCCTACAACAAATTGAATTTCCATATGACATTTTGTATTGACGGGGCAAAGTTTGCCTGCCCTTTTCCCTTTTGAAATAGTATGAGACAATATGAAAAAAAAATATTTGTTATTGGTCCCCAGGAAAGATATACATGTACATATATTTTTGGTTTACTTTCAGTCAGTTTTGCTATATTTATTAATACCTTCCCTTTGTTATAATTATTTATATGTATAAAGAGATTGAAATAATTGTCTTTAAAGCTTTAAGGAGTGACTATTTATTAATCAATCTAGTAAGAAATGCATATAAATGATACATGTATCACTCATTTGAGTAGGTGATATCACCTATTCAGTAAGGTGTACATGATGTCACCTATTCATTTTGATATTCATTTCAAATAGGAGGTACATGTATCACCCATTTGAAAAGGTGAAATCATGAATGTGTACCAGATTGTGTATCAGCTGATTGACATTCCATCTATACTCCTGATACCAACCATCTCTCCAAGGATAAACTTTCTTGTACTGTATGCCAGGAGCACAGTATATCAGAAATTGTTCTTTCTAGATGGAATCAAGATCTGAACTCCTTACCACCTGAAGCAGATAGACTTTACTTTACCAGTCCCCAGATCCACAAGATCTGCACGCTGATTGCACTATAAGATTTGCATCACTCAACTCAAAAGGGTTAGCATGGTTAGTCTTGCACACTACTCAACTGGTTAGGGTTAGTCTTGCACACACCTGAGAGATTAGGGTTAGTTTTGCACAATTATTTGACTGATTTGGATAAGCTAGCCTTGCATCCATTCGAGAGATTAGGGTTAGTCCTCACATAGCATATGAGAGATTAGGGTTAGTGTCTTGTTCTTTCAGATTAATTAAGAAATTCAGTTGCATCTTATTTTTTGCAAGATCTCAATTCAACTTCAATGGCATCTCATTGGTTTGTTTACATGAAAAAATGGCTAAGAATTGTCACAAAGCATGAGCTGCACACGCTTCATCGACAATTATTTTTTGTTGATTTTCCACTGAATAAACAATATTTATTAATTTTTTTTAGAGAACAAGGGGTTAAGAACTCCATTTAAAAAAGAAGTTTCAAACTAAACATTTAACCCTAGAATTCGATTTTGGGGTCAGATAGGCCAAAAACCTTGTACTTTTAATTCTTTTTGATATCTCACATGATCTCATATACATTGATATATATTTTAGCGCGTTTTTATCTGGGGACTGTTAAAGTTCCTCTTAAGCTTACATCCTTAGACAGCCTTAGAGATTGTTGAGGTTTTGTTCCAAGAAACTAAGGTTTTACTTTCAAGCAATTAATACTAAATCAATTTTTATTCAATAGTCTGTTTCATGATAACTGCGGTACTGCTCTTTTGCAGGGCAAATTGATATGATTTGATGAAATATGACGTAAAAGAAATAGTTTAATAACATGTCATTTAATAATCTGTCAACAAAAACTTTGTCAAATGTTATAATTTGCCATGTAAAAGAGTAGTACCCTGGTTATTGTGAAAGGGCAAATTTAGTGTCAGATTATTATAAAAAAATTGCCATGATATGTTGTGTTACAAATTATGCATGTATCTATGTTATGCCCCCAGTGGGACCATGATTGGCAAATAATTCTATTCTATATATATATATATATATATATATATATATATATATATATATATATATATATATATATATATATATATATATATATATATATATATCCATGTTTCAAGTTAGCACTATGAATTGTGAACAACCGACAGGTCCAGCACAATACCCTGATAAAGGTATATAGCTTGATAAAGGTATATAGCTTTATCAAGGTATTACAAATACCTTGATCAAGGTATTTTATGTAATGAAAATACCAAAAAAATCCTTAAAAAAATAAATACTGACAGTCAAGTTCTGAGTTGTTGTCAGCTAATTCATTCATGCATGCAAAGTACTCAGACACAAAAAAATCAGTGTAAAAGCATGTCCTGTGAGGAGACCTTCTTTTATGCTTTCTTTTTGATACCTGTGTACTTTTCATGCGCTAGTGAACACACTGACCACAACTCATAATTCGACTTTTAAATTTAATTTTTTAAGAATTTTTTTGTATTTTCATAACATAAAATACCTTGATCAAGGTATTTGTAATACCTTGATAAAGCTATATAGCTTTATCAAGCTATATACCTTTATCAGGGTATTGTGCTGGACCTGACCGATGCAATGTGTGGGATGTCTATTCTTATAGTCCTTGAATTGAGTGCATTACCTTTAGGAGGATCTGTCCGACCTCCTCTGGTCTTGCTTCGAATTCCGTCATATTGTCTGCAAAATAATATTACCAGGGGTTGGTACTGACACCTAAAAGTAACCCCTTTTTATGGTAAACATGCATGCAAACCCGCCATGTTTGTTTCTCCAGCAACACATACAACAACGAAATCGATGACGTTCAACACATTTCCGGTTAAATTATGTCCACCAATTCGGCACTGTTTACATCGTGTTGTACACAATATGATCCAGATTTGTTAATTAAAGGTAAATATATTGTGCGTAAAATTTATAAGAAGATACCATTCATTTATATACATTTTTAACAAACTAATTGGTAATTGACAGTGGCAATATTATAATTGATGTAAGTCAACCGAATTTCCTCTCTCAAATTTAGACAATTTTAAGACGTATATGTCAGAGACATAAATAACATCATTACTTATGTCTCAGATAACTGCTATTCATTAGAATTATAGACAGGGTGATATATTTTGACTGTGTTTATGAAGCATTTAGGACTAATAGAATCATTCATTACTACGAGTGTGGGATAGTGAAATTCCACCAAGGGGACAAGATTCACGGTCTAGGACGAGGCTTTGCCGAGTCCTAGACCGTGAATCTTGGCCCCGAGGTGGAATTTCACTATTCCCACACGAGTGAGTAATGAATGATTATTTTTCTCGCATTATTTTATCCAAAATAACGGCCTGTCAATGACATCGCCATGATAGGGCTAAAAATATATTCTTTTAATTTTCCATCTAATTAAAATTCTAAATACACCATCAGAGAGAGCGTACCTGAAAATGGTTTACACATAGTGTAAACTGATAAAATGAATTTCAGTCCATGTAAATTAATTAGATAGATAAAAACTGGGAATAAAAAACTTATCCATCCGATAGCGTACACATTCATTCAAGAAGAATCCTTCCGCGATCTAAAAATAGTGCCATTTAAAAAGTGAAAATACGACAATATTTTGAATGAAAATAAGTTTATCTTAATAAGTTAAATGACAACATTTTAAGTATATGTAATATATTTTAACATTGTTACAATTTCTTTATATAAAGACGGAATGTTTACGTTATCGTTCGCGGCGTAGTAATACACAGTGTAAGAGAGAAAAATCTCACACTGCTGTCTCACACCGGACAAGTCAATCTTACACCGGTGATTATGCGAGAAAATAATATCAAGTTCTTACTTAGATCTGACCTAATCCAAGATTCCTCTGACTCTAACCCCTGCTTTTATATTTTGACCTGCACATGTCAAAATATAAAAGCAGGGGTTAGAATCGGAGGAATCTCGGATTAGATCTGACCATACAGATCGATCTGTGAAATGTCACTTGTCTATCTAATTATTTTTTTATAGCCTCTCCCCATTATACTTTGTTGTTTTTTTTAAAAGAAATTTTACTACTAGTTAACAAGCAAATTTAGAGAACTGTGGCCCCTCTGGTTTCAGGGTTTATTGTTTAGGTGTTAACAGTAATTGAGTTAACTAAAAGGAGAAAATGTGATGGACCAGACCAGGATTCAAACCCTCGCTCCTTGAATAACTAGTCAGGAGCTCTACCACCTGAGCTATCTGGCCAAAGGTGATTGAACCTGCCTAATCGCCATATTTCATATCCTCCCTCACAAAGGTCTTCACCCCTGAAGACACCAACCAAGACTCTTCCCTGACTGGTCTTTCACCTGTCACCTCCAGGACATGGCAATGTAATAGGAAAGGAGAAAAATGTCAGACCAGACCAGGATTTGAACCCAGGCCCCCTGAATCATTATAACTTTCTTGTCAATCCCTCATACTAAAAATATATATATATATTTTCAAAGTATTATCTTTTAGTGCAAAAGATATGGCCAAGGTTAAAGTCTTTGAAAATAAAACTTTAAGGTCAAGGTTATGTGGTCCAAAATTGCATTCAGAAAGGTCTTATCACATGCTCACGTGAAAATATGTAAGTTTTTATTCTCTTCTGGTGCAAAAGTTGCGTCTAAAGTCAAATTTATTTAAAGGTGGTCAAATTTCAAGGTAAAGGTCAGGGTACGTCAGGAAAGGTCTTGTCACAAGTTATGTACATTTGAAATATGAAAGCCCTGTCTCTTCAGGTGCAAAAGCTACAGTAGTAATTTTTTTCAACTCAGTGGGAATGGTTCGATGCTGATTCAGTTGGGAAAAATAGCATCGAAATAGATCAAATTTCCCATCATATCAACAAATGATGTTTCTATTATGCTTGTGGCTGTCAAGGTAGCTCAGTCAGTAGAGCGCTTGCTCCATGATCAGAAGGTCGTGTGTTCGAATCAGGGCCGCGACTGACCAAGTCAATAAAAAACGGGTAACAACTGTTCCTTCGCCAAACGCTCGGCACTTTGAAGTGAAAGTTGCGGGTCCTTTGGATGAGACACTAAAAATCGAGGCCCTGTCTCACAGTAGGCGTTGGCACAATAAAGAACCCTCACTGCTCAATGGCCCTGAGTGCTGAGTAAAGGTCTAAATTTGAAGTCCTTCACCGGTATATGGTGACATCTCTATACAAGTGAAAAATTCTCGAATGGGACATAAAACAACATGCAATCAATCAATCGTATTTTGCTTGTTCAAACTCATGAAATATTAATCAATGTTTTAAAGAATAAACAACAAGTATTCATTGTCTTACATATTTAAATGTCTCTTAATTTTGTTCTCACATTTTCAATGCTGTGAAGTTGTTGATGACAACAGACACTAGGCTTTCTATAACATGTGTCTTGCCATAATATGACTGATCTCTACTTCTATTTTTAGTCTCAAAATTGGTAAAAATCAATATTTTTAGCTCAACTTGACAAAGTCGAGTTTGACATATCCCTGCTATAAGAGATATTGGTGATCAAAATAACAAAGTTCAACTATATATCGTTTGTTGTTTGTATGTTGAAAAATTTTTAAACTGATAATTTTGGAACATATATTGTATACATTTGGGACATAATACATGTATGTAAATACTGGAATCCAAAATTAATACATGTATATTTATATAAACACCTGTTAGTAAGTGCATTAAAGATATTTTCTGGTTTATAACCATACAAAGACATTAAATTAATTTTTTCCTAGACATTTTGGATGTTGAAATTTTACCAACAAGTAATAAGGAAATAGAAGATATTGTTAGTTACAATTGGAAGATTGACACAAAGTACTATACTGCGGATATAAAGTTATGTACAACAAGGAAGCGGACTGTTGGAACTGCCGAGTTTGCTGAAAGTGTCCAGGCTGCAGTCATATATTTTAATGCAAGCCAGGTAATGGCAGCACACATCAGTTATTAAAGCCTGATGTAATCATGTATAATAAAATGCTGGCATCATTTTCAAAGTAAAATTGTACATGTATAAATTTTCATTTAGTCTGACTTACCCAGTAACATTTATACACAGTTTTCTTTAAATTAATAGCCAGAAAGCTTTGACTTAGCAAAAGCATGGTTGCCATACCTAGAAGAAATATCACCAGCAATACAGTTACTTGTATGCAGAAACATTCCTCAGAGTCAAGGTATGGACTGAACTTTTCCTTTTGCTTTGGTTGTAATTATCAGGGCTGTGTGAGAAAATGTACAATACTATCAATTTTTAATTCAACACTATGTATATAGAATTAGGAAGAACTGTTTTCACAAAAAAGTTTTCTGTATTCTAGAGTTTGTATCTATAGTAATGATTTTTATTTTGATGGATTGTGCTATTTTAAAAATTTACACTTATATATTCTAGCTACTCATAGACACAATATACAGAAATGGTGTTTAGACAATGACTTTGAATTAGTGGAATTAGAACCAGAAGTGAAACAGGATGAAGATGGTAGGTGACAAAAGTGGATTCAGAAATTTCTGATGTCAAGGAAACAGTAAACAAGATATCTCATTTCTTAATCATTTCCTTTCAGATGATTTTCAGGAGACTACAGGCATCAAAAGAATTATTCAGGCTCTTCATGCCCATATGTGGCCAGATATGGTTCTTAAGGGTAAGCCAATTTATTTAAGGAATGATTTTTAGCTTTGTGAGTGTTGTTGGTGTCTAAATCACACAGACTTGTCACATAGGCATATTTCATGAAAAAAATGTCTACATGCAAGTCTGTGATTTACACACCAACAACTCTCATAAAACTGAAAAACATTCCTTATATCTGCTTGTATTTACATTTTAATGCTTTAAAATGAACAAAAATACACTCAATATTTGAATTTTTTTGCTGCCCCATATGGTTATTTTTTTTTTTTACATATCCATTGCATCATTGTGATGTCATATACGTGTGACTGTACACGAAAATGGCATTAAGATCAATTTCACTGCTTAGTTAAAACAGCAAATGTAAATATTGCAAATAACAGTTACCAACCATTTTAATGTTGCTGTGTACAATAAGTTTACCCTTTTTCTGCTGAAAGCTTTGATGCTATTCATGTAATGCAGATGAATCAATAATAGAAGACCTTTCATGAGTCTGATTTTGTAATATACTACAAAAATTCATTTCCAAGTTAACTTGGAGGACGTTTCATCCAGTCTAAAATGTAAATATGCATTTAAGTTGCAGAAAATGTTTTTCAGAGAATCAACACACAGTTAGTCCATACATGAGGAAACTAATGGAGGAGGAGTCTTTATCAAAGAAAAAGCAAGATTTGGTGGATCCTTCCAAGGGAGATGACTCTTCATTAAAAACAGAAAGGGTGAAAGATGGTTCACTGGAATCTGGTCAATGTGAAAAAGAGACAAATGGGCAGCTGGAAGAAAAAACACACCTCAAAGCAGGGAAATCAGCACATGAAAATCCAGAAAAAACACACCCCACAGCAGGAAAATCAGCACATGGAGATCCTGACAAGGAGAAGGCAGCCACACATTCTACAACCAAGGATAACAAACTCTTAGGCAATGCTGCTTTAGCATAAAAAACATAGTGATATATTTATGAACTACAAAGACTTGTTTCAGTTATGATTAGAAATATTATGTGATATTAACATTATGCATCTAACTAAAAATTGCACATTTATGTGTATAATTCTAAATATGCTCATCTATGATGGTATTGTGTCAGTGTTCAATCACAATCTGTGATTGTTCTGGTCTGTAAATATGTACCGGTAAATATGTTTTAAATATTTTTTAACAGAAGACTTAATTCCTGACAATGACAATGCCTTTATGGAGTCTCTGTGTTCAGAAGAGGAGGAAGCGGAATCATTTGAACAACTTTTCTCCAAGTTTAGGCTTATGAAAGGTACCTATTTATAGATATCAATGAAGAGTAAGAATATTCGACATATTGATGAACTATATTATAATTCTTAAAATAACTTGTCAATGAGTAGTAAAAAGCTCTAGTTTGCACTTCATTGAATTCAGTTTATAAACAGACAAATTATTTTTCCTTCAGAAAAAGCTGAGTCCCTACCACAGGAAGAGAAGAAAAAATATGCAGAAAAAGTAAGTTTTGAGATTACGCAGGTAAATATTTACAGAATGAATTTACCATAAAAGATACTAGGGATGCGCGATTTTATCGGTATACCGGTATATCGTGATTTTTTATTGTGTGATACGTATCGTGATACGGAGACTAAAATACCGGTATTTGGTACATAATTAAAAATTCAAGAAATTCATTTATTTCTTTGAATTATGAAATAAGAACAGGAAGTCTAAAAAATGTTGAAAAAAGTTAAACTATGGCATCTAAACATGCTTTATATTATATTTAAAAAAATGAAAAAAGTGAAGTTATGTTTTTACAGCGTATTTGTAAGAAATATTATAGAAATTCATTAGAAATTCTAGTAAAAATTCTGTGTTAAAATATCACGATATTATCGTGATATTTTGGAGAAAAAATCGTGATATATCACGGTACGAAATTTTTTTCGATACCCATCCCTAAAAGATACCCTAGTTATTCTAGTGTAATCGGGGTTAGGGCACTTAATGCTTTATGAACCATGAAGCTGTTTATAAAAACTGTGTATAAATCTGTTCCAACCCAGGTTATATGAGCTCAACGTTGGAAACGTTTCAAAAATTCATTCCTCATAATTTGATTTTATTCCATTAAGTGAGGAAAATTAAAAGATTTTATCTCAAATATTGAATTAAAATGTACAAAAATAAATTTACATGTAATGTCCAATGAATTGACGTTTTTAACTAAAGTCATATTGTGATGTACACAGGTTATTTATGATAAAAACTATTTTTTTTTTATCAAATCAATAAGACATTTCAACTAGAATTAAATTATATATATGCATATTATTATATATCCTTGTTTAATTGTGCTAATAAGGAAAAAAAAATTATTTAATACATGAATGTATTCTCTAAAAATTATGTCATTAATTGTATACATTTTTATCCTTTAATCTCAAGGGTCTATAAAGAACAATATAACCACTTAATTGTTCTTTTATTTTGTCAAATGTTTCTTGTCAAGTATGCGAGACATGTATTTATTGTAGTTTTTTTTTGGTGGTAGGTTACCTTGGCATTCTGGAAAGCCATTGGTGGAGACGAGGAGGAGATTGGTGACCTCTCTGACCTTAGTGACACTGAAATGCCATAATGTCAAACAAAAGACTAAACTTTCATAACATTAACATACCAAGAGATATGCCCCTCGACTCCACCCTAAATAGGCATAGCAATACAGAAAAGAGAAGACAATGGTACACATGTTCTCTTCCTAGATTTGCCATAAGCTGCCATAAGCTGCAACATTATTCAATGAAAAATGTTTGTTTTATTTTACACTTACAGTTTATCTATTCAGTTTTTACATTTAAACAAACAGATTCTGAAATATATACACTGTACAACTGATGCATGCATAGGTATGATAATTTGTATTTTTTTCAATGCTCAATAGGTTTCAAGGAATGCAGAATTATTATCAGGATAAATATTAGATGTTTTTCATTTACATTTTTTGCTTTCATATTTTATAGTTAAATTTTGCTTTTTGCTTTCATATTTTATAGTTAAATTAAGTTGGACCGAAATCATTGTATACATTAATACATTTTTATATGAGACACTGAGATTTCTGTTTTGTCAATAAATGTATTTATTTATAATTGCACTACTGTATATTAAGTGGAATATTTAGCGGGACGCAAATTTAGCGATTTATCCTTAAAAATCAGTTTTTAATTTTAGCGAGAAGTAATTTTAACGATTATATGGTGCACAGAGAGATAACGGTAACCTCTAATGCAGAATAAATTGTTAGCGATATTTAATTTTAGCGATCCCAACATCCTTGCTAAAGATGCCAAAATTGAATCCTCGCTAAAATTTCTGCTTATATGATACTTTGACAACTGGCTATATTAATTGGTTAATAAAATAAAAACGAGTCTTGTCGTTCTTGATGGTCACCTAAGTAACATGGATTTCTTCAGACTATGACATCTTTGAGCCCAGCTGGAAATGGTAAGGACTTATGTGACAAAATTTTAGCAATGTTTTGAGGACTGTATAATCATTTTTCATATTAAGGCATCATGTCTCCTTGAAGTTACGGAGTAAAGAAAATAAGGTAACAATGTAACAAGGGATCCATGTGCATTGACAGTCACCCGAGTTTCATGAATTTCCTAGGCTGTAAGCACTTCAGACCTTCAACTGGCATGGACTTATATGACAAAAAATTTACAGATTGGTAGAACTCTTATTTAATCATTTGTACATTCAAACAGCCCTTCTTGTAGTAGTTCAGGAGTAAAGAAAAAAAAAGGAACTGTGTAATAAATTTTTATAAACTCATGTACTACCAACTTAGCCCACCATGGAGCCTGATCCCTGGTCATGGGAGACATGAATTTTGATTTTTGTAGAGGGCTAGCTTATATTAAAATCCACTATCATCCAAATAATTTATCTGCTAGATGTCATGCTTATTTTTCAGAGATGTTATGAACTTTCAATAAATTCCCAAGTTATCCCCACCCCGTTGCCTGGACCATGGGGCCATAAATTATAAAATTATGAAGGAGACTGATGTGCAAATTATTTTGTCTGTTAGATGTTCATAAGTAAATATTTTCAAAGGTGTATTTCAATATACAGTTGAACTTCAGTATCTAGAAAACTGATATCTCATATACCATGGATATGTCGAAGTGATTTGTAAGTCCCAATCACTTATTCTTTAAGTATTTTACCCTTGATATCTCGAATCCTCTGATATCTTGAAGTTTTTTCATGGTCCCTTCGAGTTCGAGATAACAAGGTTTGACTGTACATGTATGACAAACTAGCTCCCACACTGGGGCCCTAAAGCTAGACCACGGGGGCATCAGTTTTATAATTTTGTTAAAAGATTAAGCCTGATACATGTCAATGGGTAAAGAAGAAAATTTTTAAAAAGCGTCACAATTTTTAATGTATGACCATCAAAGCCCCGATGCTGGAGCCAGATATGTGGGCTAGGGGTCATGAATCTCACAATTTATCATATTCACATAAACAGTTTATTTGATAGATATTTCCAACTTCAGATTTTCAAAAGTGTCATGTACTTCTCAATATAAGACCAACTTATCCTCACCCTGGAACATGATCCCTGATCTCGAGGGACATAAATTTAATCATTTTTGTAGAGAGCTAGTTGTTCATTATAATCTGCTAGATGTCCATGATTAACGAAGACAATTTTCCGAGAAGTAATTAACTTTCAATAAATGACCAACTTGGCTCCACCATGTTCCCAGCTTGGTCATGAGCAAGGGGGACATAATTTTTAAAAATAATGATCAAGTCCTCAGCGTTAATTACAATCAAACAAATATTTTGTCTGCAAGATGTTAAATATTTTCAAAGGAGACATGCGATTCAATATATGCACTAACTTAGCCCCAAACCGACCTGAACGCTGGACCTAGGAGATATTAGTTAAAAAATTTTTGTGAATGGTTAAGCACTCAATGTAATCATGCAAACAGTTTGCCTGATAAATGTCAATGGGTAAAGATTTTCAAAAATGTCATGATTTATTTTCAATACCCCACCCCTAGGACCTGAACCATGGCCCCAGGAGGCATGAATTTCAAAATAATGCTAAATTGTTGAGTATTAAAATCATGCAAACAGTTAGCCTGCTTGATGTCCACAAGTAAGAGAAGAATGAAAGAAAAAGTGAGCAAGCTCACATACCCCACGCTCCCCCAAAACTCAACAATGCAACACATTTTAAATACACAGTATAATTCAAAAAGGGGTATTACTTGCAAAAAATCATCACATCAAGACTTCTTGCATATAAGGACATTCAAATCTTTGTATGTTACAAATTTAATTGGGCTGAAGTTTCTAGATAAATAATGGAATCAAAATTTCTTGGTAATATACAAATCTATACATTATGTCTGAAATACCTACAAAGTTTCAGGAAATTCAGTGTAGGAGTTATGCTGACAAACTGTTATTTAAATGATTTGTTAAAGAGTGTAAGTCCATGTCCAACGCATGACAATTTACACATTTAAAAAATTGATGGAAACAAAATTATGATGTAGTCATATGAATTTGTTTTTATATACTGTACTTATGAAATTATTTAAGGCAAAGCACCAATTTGAGAGGGGTGAAGTGGGGTGGGGTGGGGGGTGAGAACTATCCAAGATTTTGTGTGTGTGTGTGTTAAATCATTAATATTTTGATCTCAAAATCAATAGGGGTCTTTTAAGGTCATAAAATATTTCACATAAAATTTAATTACAAAAGCTGATTCCAGTGGATTTCCTTATTACCGGGTACCTAGCTGGAAAGTTTCTTCAATAATAAGCAAAACTCTTAAGGCAAAAATAATGGAATCGGAATTTCCTGGTAATATGCACATCTACACACTGTGTACTAAATATCTGCAAAGTTTAACCTAATTCTGTGCACAGTTTAAGAGGAGTTGCACTAACAAACTGTTCGTCTCTATATTCAAGATATGGCCAAAAATCTAAGTTGAAAAGTGCAGAAATTCCCAGAAAAATAATGGAATCAGAATTTCCTGGTAATATGCACATCTACACACTGTATCCTGCAAAGTTTGACCAAATTCTGTGCAGCGGTTTAAGAGGAGTTGCTCTGACAAACTGTTCATCTCTATATTCAAGATATGGCCAAAAATCTAAGTTGAAAAGTGCCGAATTTCCCAGAAAAAATAAGGGAATCGGAATTTCCTGGTAATATTCACATCAACACATTGTGTCCTAAATATCTGAAAAGTTTGACCAAATTCTGTGCAGCGGTTTATGAGGAGTTGCGCTGACAAACTGTTCATCTCTATATTCAAGATATGGCCAAAAATCTAAGTTGAAAAGTGCCAAAATTCCCAGAAAAAATAAGGGAATCGGAATTTCCTGGTAATATGCACATCTACACATTGTGTCCTAAATATCTGAAAAGTTTGACCAAATTCTGTGCAACGGTTTATGAGGAGTTGCGCTGACAAACTTTTCATCTCTATATTCAAGATATGGCCAAAAATCTAAGTTGAAAAGTGCCGAAATTCCCAGAAAAAATAAAGGAATCGGAATTTCCTGGTAGTATGCACATCTACACATTGTGTCCTAAATATCTTCAAAGTTTGACCAAATTCTGTGCAGCGGTTTATGAGGAGTTGCGCTGACAAACTGTTCATCTCTATATTCAAGATATGGCCAAAATTCTAAGTTGAAAAGTGCCGAAATTCCCAGAAAAAATAAAGGAATCGGAATTTCCTGGTAGTATGCACATCTACACATTGTGTCCTAAATATCTTCAAAGTTTGACCAAATTCTGTGCAGCGGTTTATGAGGAGTTGCGCTGACAAAAAAACAGGACTGACGGACTGACTGACTGACACACTGACTGACTGACGGACGGGTTAAAAACATTATACCCCCCGCAACTTGTTGCGTGGGGTATAATTACGAGATGTAATGCATTTTTCATATACATGAATGACCAACTCAACCAAACTCGAGGGCTTTAACCAAGGGTGTGTGAATTGCAGAATTTTGATAGAAGTTTTTAAAAGTACTGCTTAAAATCACACAGTTTGCCTGCCAGATGTCTACGAGTCAAGAATGCTTTGTGAGATATGATGCAAATTTTATTTAAAGGAGTCTGACCTCAGAGGTCATGAATTTTACAGTTTTGGTAAAGGGCTCATTGCTTATATTAATCATGTCAACAATTTATTACTGCTTGTTGGCCAGGAGTAAAAGAGATTTTTGAAGACAGCAATAGTTTTGATGGTTTTAGCTACACTGTTGATCCCCTTTATCTAGATGCTATGTACCAAAATTTCTTGGTAATTTAAAGAATGATGGAGGCGTGCAAGGTGAGGGCAATCCCCGCTCTGAGAAAAGACATTTCTCAATTCTAAATATCATGAAATATTACCCCGGTATATTTTTAAAAATTTGTATTATAAATATTATCTATTACACGTTTGCTTCTTTTATTTCATTTAATAACTTATTGATAAGTAATTTTTCACTTATGTTTGTAGGATATGTGGAAAAGAAAAAAAGAGCTTCACATATTATTCGAACTCTCTCCAAAGGTCACATTAGGTGCAAGACTGTATGTGTTAACCACAACGATACAAAGTCTTCTTATTGATGTGTGTCAATGTGTGCTTTAAATTAACAAATTTGTCAAAATGTATAATTTTTTCAGAAATGTTCGATTTTAATAGAATGGGTTCAGACTCCATTTTTTTAAAACATAAAATAGACTTTACATTTACTTTTCCATCATAATGATTTAAACATTAATGTAAAATGGAGACTTGACCCCTTTATTTTCAAAGACATTTTTTGGGGGGGGGGGGCTCCAATAAACCCATTTTCCACTAAATATGCTTAACTGTCAACTTTAAAAAACAAATTATCAATCAATAGTCATTTAATAAAATAACTGAATCAAATGTGTTGAAGATGACATTACTGACAACATAATTTTAGAAAAATGTAACTTTTTTGTGAACTTTGAAAACTGAAGAAATATATGGTCTCAGAGCAGGGAATTGTCCTCTCCTTGTATGCCTTCTTTTGTGTCCATGTCACAACTTATCTTGTGCCATTGTAATATAAGCTTCATAATTGCAAAATCTTAAAAAGTGTTTAAAGATACAAAACGACATCCCCCTTTTTACATAATTTCATTCCAGAATCTCCACAGATATATGCTGTTAAAAATTCATTTTTGTTTAAAATAATGTGTCAGGCTTTGATTAACATATAATAATAAACATGAAAAATGTTTCCAAAATAGTTTTCCACATTTTGAAGCACATGCAAATTTCATTTATCACATCCCCAGGATCTGGGTGCACACAGCATCCTGAATCAATTACAAGATCTTTCCCTATTCTAAATGTTTGAAACATACAAGTGTTCTTGGGGAAAAAACCTGAACAATGGAAGTAAATAAAATTTATTCAGTATGTATTCCACAAAATTTGATATAGATACAAAGTGACAAAGCCCTTGTTGTATTTCAGACAAAATACATAATGTACATTGTACATGTAGTAGCACATCATAGATATTTATGAAATTTCTCTATGACTGAAAAAACATTATTATCACAATTTCTATATATAGCACTGTCTTTTTTTGTTTAATTCATAATTCTGAGTAAAAATTTTTCAACCTGTCTGATAATTCCATTCAGTTTCCAGGTTTAATTAATTCCTAATTTTTTTTTTACATACAACACAATACCAATAGTATAATACTTCAATAAATGATATAGTTAATAAATAGAAACACCCTACACAATCAACACTCTAAAAAAAATGAATATTCAGAATACTGTACTCTTTAACCAAAATTTAAGGAGAGATGATGCAAACTTTTTTTTCCAATAAATAAAGGTATGTTTACATAAGTAAAACAAGAGATGTTTGTGAAACACTTACCCCCCCCCCACCCCCCCCCCACCCCCCCAATAACTGGAATTTTTTCTAAGTCCAAGGGGCATAACTCTGTCAAAAATTGCTCGATCATACCCAAAACAAAACTTGACCTATATATTCTTATGATAAATCTGTATACCAAATTTCATTTCAGTATGTGTAACCTCTGCAAAGAAAATGAATGGAAACTGCCAATAACTGGAATTTTTCTAAGTCCAAGGGGCATAACTCTGTCAAAAATTGCTCGATCAAACCCAAAACAAAACTTGACCTAGATATTCTTATGATAAATCTGCATACAAAATTTCATTTCAATATGTGCAGCCTCTGCGAAGAAAATGAATGAAAAATGCAAATAATTTGAAATTTTCTAAGTCCAAGGGGATGAGACCTTAAAAACCGAGGCCCAGTGTCACGGCAGGCGTTGGCACAATAAAGATCCCTCACTGCTCAATGGCCCTGAGTGCCGAGTAAAGGTCAAAATTTGAAGCCTTTCACCGGTATATGGTGACGTCTCTATATGAGTGAAAAATTCTCGAATGGGACGTAAAACAACATACAATCAATCAATCAATCTAAGTTCAAGGGACATAACTCTGTCAAAAATTGCTCGATTGTACCAAAAACACCACATTACCTAAATATTCTTATGATAAATCTGTATACCAAATTTCATTTCAGAATGTGCAACCTCTGTGAAGAAAATGAACGGAAACTGTTGGTGGACCGACTGACAGCAGCAAAGCAATATGCCCTCCCTTCTTCAAAGGGGGGCATAATGAAGAAGTAACCACATAGATTTTTGTTTCATTCAAAATTTCACAGTAATGTCATATTAAGTGAAAAAAAAGTTGTATAGTCTTAAGAATGACTGCAAAAAGGTAGAATTTTGAATGTGATTGAAAGTCTACAATTTCTAAATATTTTATATCATTTATAACTAAAGTCCAAAAATATATACCAATCCTTGTATAGTCTTGTAAGAATGATTGCAAAAAGTTAGAATTTTTAACGTGATAGAAAGTTTACAATTTCTAAATATTTTATATCATTTACAACTAAAGTCCAAAAATATATATCAATCCAATCATCCATTTTCTTGTTTGTATCATCTGTCCTTAAGTACAAATCTACGCAACTTATTATGGATATATTAAAACAAATGTTTCACTACAGTAAGTCATAATTTAATATTTACATTTCCAAGTATTTTTCCTTAAGATTCTTTGCAAATTAGAAGATTGTTCATTTTCTCATGAACTACCATGAGATGAGCAATAATATCCCCATTGTTACGTCATAATACCGTAAAACTATAGTGCAAACTGTTTTGCTTAAAAAAATGACAGTTGAATGGTGTAACTTGTGGAAACCCATCAGAAAAATAATGTAAATATAAGAAATGAATTTAATTTTTGAAAATTCATGAGGTACATGAACTACGACGCTTCACGCCGGCATATTTATCATGAAGTGCTAACGCGCTTCATGAAATATGCCGGCGTGAAGCGTCATAGGTCATGTACTCATGAATCTTCAAAAATTAAATTCATTTCTTAAATATTACAATCCAACAACATATGAACATACATGTATATATTAAAGCATTTTAAATGAAAAATGTTGTTCTCTGTAGAAATTCACTCTTGCATTACCATATACATGTGTATTGGCTTGTCTTACATGTTAGTTTTCAAATATCAATCATAAAAGAAAAGAAAAAAAAAAACGATTAAAAAGACGAGGATATTTTTCATAATAACTATTTCCCTAATTTGTTCTAGTATCTACTTGATTTGTTTTAGTATCTACTTGAGGTCATACTTTATTTTTAAATATTTTTAGGACTTGTGTTTACATCAAATTGAAAACTGAAATTTGCTTTTGAACAACTTTCAGAATGTGCCAAGAAGGCATATTATGAACTCAAATCAAGTATATCTTGCAATAACAATCAATCAGTGCAAGTTTTACTTAAACTAAATCAATCAATGATTGTATCATTTATAACATATGGATCTGAAATATGGATTACAGACTAGTTAGCTTTGAAAAAGAGTTATACTTCATGGCAAGCAAGACTTTCAATCTTCTAGAAAAAAACTAAACTTGATTTCTTTAAATATTTCCCATAAAGAGTTTAGGATTACGTTAAATAAAACTTTTGTTGACATGATCTATGAACAATTGAGCAAAATCTCATTACCTAACTCAGGGAAACTTTGTTTCTGCAGTAAAATCTTAAATTGTACTGAATATAAAATGCAGGATTACTTCAACATGTTCAAGTTTCCTTTGAAACGATGTGAATGATCATGCACAGCTAACAAAATAAAGAATTAGTGCACATTCACTTTTTATTGAAACAGTCAGATATTGTAAGCCAATGATCCTATACGCTATGCTTGTAATTTATTTGCTGAAAATGAAAAAAAATGTACATAACAGTCCTGCATATAACAGACTTCAATTTTAATATTATATTTTTTTCTGTTGTCTGTCATTTGATTTGTTATCTTGACTGTATGCCAACATGTCCATTACTTCTTTACAAAAAACCTGAAAGCAAGATGACCTGTTCATATGCAGTGGTGCTCATTCTTCAATGAAATAGCATAAATACACGTATATTATTATACAATTCATAAACAATATTTGCACTCTAGTTCACTGGAAAAAAATTTACTAGTATTTCAAAAGTGCATGGTCCCAAAACCTACATAATACAGCATGGGTAACATGTAGGACAAAAACAATACCGAAAGGCAACAACAAACGATCTGGTAATTCTAGGTATAAAGTAACAGGATGTCCAACTCAAAAAGGGATACTCTACACCACCGCAATTTATAAACTACAACTGAACTTAAACAAAAAAAAGAGTATTCATAATATACCCTGCCAGTTAAAATCCTGACATAAAAAACAAAGATTATTTACAATGATAGTATGTTGTACACTTTCATATTAACGGTTTAAAACAAAATTTGAAATTACAAAAATTAAATCATTCACTTTCTGAGAGATGAAGAAGAAGTTCATCCTCCGACATTTGATCACTGGATGATATATTCAGGTCTCCCGGCTTCTTTGCTGGACTTGTCAAAAGCGGAATGATCTGGCTCATCTCTGAACCCTTTGACTGATTGTCTGATATTTTGTTTACATTAACAAATGGAATCACTTCACTCAACTCACCATCCTGAGTTGTTTCAGATTCCCTGCTTGGATGGTTTTGAAGACTACCATTTGTGATATTACTTCCTGGAGTAATGACAGGAGTGCAGATGTCCTGAGAACTGTTGGCAGTCACTAAGCTATGGAAGGTGGGTTGGTTACCGGTATTGTTGATGGGAATGTTGCCATGACTACACATTTTAGGGGGTGACTGAATGATGTGGGAGGATGCTTGTGAAGGACTAGACACTGTTTGGGAGACTAGACGACGTGCTGGAGACTTTGGAATGGCTGAAGAATGTAAATGAAATCTCCATAGAGCTCAATTTTGTATTCAAGTTGAAATAGAATTCAAAATCATGTGAATCTATTAAAGCTTGTGATTTTATATCAGCACAAAATACTGCATATTTAAGCATACATGTATCTCAAATATATTGTAGAGTTTGATCTCAGTTATGATAAGAGAATCTCCCGTTAGCTGACTGACCTGGAGTCTTGAAGACTGATTGTCCGCCATGTTTATTAGCTCTCCTCTCCATGGCTAGCTGACGACTCCTCTCCAGCCTTTCCCTTTGCTCTGGGGTAAGACCCTAAAATCAGATCAGTGATTACTGCAAACATGTGGCATTACATTCTTGTAAAAGTTAGGCCATATAAAATTGAAATTACGGTTCTCAGGCCCATGTGCATTCATTTAGAGGTAGCCGCATTGCAAATTTTATCATGTATTTGATAAAATAAAAAGTTTTTAATGCTGAGACCAATCTGGAAAAAAATTCATAATTTATGAAATTCACAAACACTGGTCCCCCTTGAACAATTATAATACCATAGTACTTCATTTATATTACTTTACCACATTAAAAAGGTCTATAATATGCCATTTTCCAATTTTGTATTTGGATAGCCTCTTTGCCAAAAATTCCAAAGTTGGTGTGCACTTAGGAGCCTACTTAACATATGCACTCACCTGTGACACTCCAACATTGCTGTTCATGGCTTTGAAAGTGCCAGGAGTGGAAGAGGTGGAAGAAAGGGGTTGTGAGAGCTGTGCCTCTAACATTCCAGACCGTGGAGTCTCCCTCGAGGAGGAGGATGGAGGACTTGACCCATTCTGTTGTGAGGCATGCTTCTTCTTCTCCTCGGATATCATCTCCTCCCATGCTTCCTCTGCATCAAGGTCAATGTCCTATAACAAGTCATTTATTGAAAAAAAAATACATGGAGCCTCACAGGAAAAAAATTCAAAATTTTGTAGAATTATGGTAAAACAAGAGAACCATATGCAAAAATCTTCATCTGTCATACAGTGCTCATTTATAAATAAATGTTATGAAACTCCAAATCATTGCCTATGACTCACGTAAGTTAAGAACCCTACTGAATAACAGTACATGTAATAAAGAAGTAAATTTTGTTGCAAATAAGTCTCCCTTTTCTATAGCCATTTGCTTTGCTGTGCAGTTGAATCCTATCCTCTGTTCTGAGCAGATGTGTTGAAGCTGACCTTTTCATGTTCACTAAGTACACATTTACTATTATACTGACCTGAGATGCCTGGCCCGCCTCCTCTTCTCTTTCATCGTCATCTCTGACAAAGTCATCATTCAGGATGGGCATATCAAGACGCATTCTTTTTATACAGGTCTACAATCAATAGAATATCAGTTTAGTTACTATTAGCTCTGTGTGAATAACTTTGGACTATACATCTGCTGATTGGACATTTCTAATCTACTATTGTAGTAATAGCATGATAGATTTATCCTATAATTATTAATAAAATATATATCAGGGTATATTTTTTTCTGTGTGCTTTTTGCTTCCAGCTAGTGGAGTGGGCAGTGCAGGTAGTTGTGAAACTCTGTACATTTCTTTTCTGTACCTTATTCAGCATTTTGTTTAAGAAAACAAACAAAAATGTATATTTTTTTTATAAAGTTGATCCATCATGATGTAACAAATTTTTATTTCCAAATCAACACAGAAAAAATACTTCAATTTTAAATGTTTATGAAAGAGACAGATCTAACACATACATGTTGAGGGTTGGCTGTGAAGTTTGTAGACAAATGCTATCATTTTCCTACTGATCACACTGACAAATATGTATGATAATATTTAAATATAAAACATGATTTCAGTAAATGTGTAAAAATTGTTGAAAACTGTTGGTCCTGTTGATAAGGCCGGTAAAATTTTGTTTGGAAACTTATAAAGAGTGTGTGTATTTTACATTCACATGTAATATTTGTTAAAAGCATGTATTTAACTCTAAACGTAAGTCATTATTACCCAGTTTTCTGGATTAACATAGCCTTTTCTTACCTTGACTTCATTCTTTGTTCCCAATTTCTCAATTCTCTCTAGTACTTCATCAAAAGGCATTTTAGGAAACAATCTATGGGCCCAATGCTCCAAGTACCTCATAATAATCTGGAGGTCTCTGGCCTGTAAATATCAGTTGTTTATAAATTTTTGCTAACAAAATAAAATGCCCTATCCTATTGGAAATAACATCTACACATGTCCAGCTTGGAACAAAATTTGCACTGCATGAACAGATCAATCCAGATTAAGGCCGAATCAATAAATTATAATGTACCTAATGTATAAAATGTGACTGCCTAATGATATACGATAAAATGAATTATTGATACATGATCGAGATAGGAATCCATAATGAAAGACACCATTGAGGAGTCTGGAAGTATAATCTTCCATCAGGCATTGAAAAGAGTAAAACAGTTATTGGACTTTATTCATTAATTAGGACATATTTTGCTGATCAGTGAAGTATTTCATGATGTACAATATTTTATAGTGGTCAAACAAAGGTCATATTTCACTAGAACTGACACTTTCCTTTTAGCAAGCCATGAAAAGAAATAAGTAATTCTGCTTCAGAGATCATCAATAACGCTGTAAGCTGACATACCAATACAAATCACATTGCTATACATGAAGAGGGCAAAGTGAACTCAATGAGCTATCCATTACCATGATTACAGCAGTTTAATAGTTCACATTCAAATTCCTTTACCCATTCATACAGAAGGTCATTTATTATTATAACCTCCACTGTGATCAGCAAAAGGGCTTCTAGCAAAAGTACACTGTACTTCTGAGGAAAAGATAATATAATATTAGTTTTCTTCAGTAAATCATTTAACAGATCTTCTACAAGGAATATTAAGGTTTACAGGAAGTAACCCTGGCCAATTCTCATTGATAATGCTAGTTCTCTTTGATAATGCATATGACAGACTATCTTAACTTAGTTTTACAAAACTAGTTAAGATTTAAATAAGGAAAGAGGTCTAGACAATTTTCCTTTATGGAAGTCAATAATGATGACTGTCAACAACCAAAAGATGACTTTCACACTTACAAGAGTTATTTCCCTTTGTGGGGAGTCAATCTTGGGTCAATCAGCATAACATACCACTTTCCCTCTATAACATTACCAATTTGTGGGTCAGTATCTGATATACAAAATCCATATTATGTGTATATTTATTACATCCTTGTTGCCCCATACTTTGTTAGTATGTGTAAAATTGTCAAAAGATGTTTCAAATACATGTACAATGTATTTAAATTTTTACAGGTAAGTTACAAAGGACATAGTGAGAAAAATGGGTGTCATGCCAACAAAGGGAAATAACTCTTGCAAATCTGAAATCTGTCAATAATATACACTGTAAATAAACTTTATGTCTTCTCTAAACATTAAATACAGTGTAGATCATCAAAATTTTGGGACACCTTATTTTAGTAAGAATGTTTTTTGGTATATAAATGAGAGAAAAAAAAAAAGAATTTTGGTCATTTTTGTGTATAATAGACTTAAATACAGTTAAACTCGCTCAGAGCAAAGTCCTGGGGATCTGTGAGTTTGCTTTATTATATACCTGTAATTTGTTGTATCTTAAGGAGGGATTCTTCTCTTAAGAATACTTATTTCTTATATTTAAAAATCAATGAAATTTTCACAGAATCAAGAAGACAATATCACTAAGTGATGGTATCAGTTAGATTAAATTTGACCGTTTTATATTAGAGGCAAGGTCAGGTCAAGGTCAGTACCTTTTCCCTGGACATTAAGAATAAAAAAATACTGTTGCCAATCATGCGATGCCTACTCTATTTCAATAAATTAAATGTTTTTCTTTTTGCATAAAGAGATATAACCATATAGGGTCTATAAGATGATATTATCAAATTGACATAAATAATTTAACTAAAATGGATATTGGCTAATCCGAATTTTCTCTATTTTTCTTAAAATTTTAAGATATTTTAGTTATTTTTATATGCTTCCTATATTTAAATTTTTCTTTTTTTCACATATGGTAAAGTCGTCACATAAAGATACAAAATGATATAAAAATAAAAAGTTTTGACCGTTTACTAAGAGAGAAAAAGCACTTTTTACGGATTTTTGGATCATATCTGAACTTAGATTGGAAGCTTTTAAAAGCTAACATAATTGTAGTTTGTTTGAAAAATCATATTTATTTGATATATTTTAAAACTTTAGTCCCTTATTATTAACTTACATTTTAAAATTTTCCCCAAGTCTTTGATTGTGTAAAAATTATAACTAAATTCATTTTTCTATAATTATTTTGAGAGGCAGAAAAGAAGATATTTTCATATGCTGCCATTCCGCCAAAAATATAGTCCCTGCTAGATTTCAAACTCAGTTTACCATTTCTATTTAAAGTTGTACAATTGTGATGAGGAAAGAAAAATATGATCTTTTAAATCTCTTACATCTAAATATATAAAACATATAAGCAAATATACTTTGAATATTTCATCTAGTCAGAAACCAGACAAGAATCCCTCCTTAATAATTAAAAGTATATATAGCAAATTCACAATGTACAAGTTTTCCTTCAAGTATTACTATTAAATATGTTCTGGGAGGTAAAAATACAAAACTTGCATTGAAGTACAAAAGTTTTCTGATGAATTTAATTTTAGATTTTAAAACTTAAGAAAAATAATGTCCATTCAATATCTTAAAATTAAGTTTAATAAACCCTCTGCTCACTCATATAAAATCTTGTTCAACTTTTATGATTTTCCCAAAGAAATGTATTTTACAAGTAAAATACAAACACTTATACTATAGCTTGTGGGGCAAAATTAAACAAAAAAGACATTTCAACTTGACAAATCTATAAAGGAATATTAGACATTTCTGTCATTAAGAGTTATCTCTCTTATCAGAGTATCGATGAACCTAAAAAAATCTTTCAAAAAGCATTAAAAAAAGATGTTTATTGTTATTCTAAACCTCTATAGGTCACAAAATCAGTTTGCTACATCCGTAAATTCATTTATCTCACAACATCAACTGTAAAATTTTACAAAGAATCATTAAGACTTTTTCTAGGAATACCTTAAAAACTTTGCTATATCTATTTTTGTGTTAAAGGATTGATTGATTGATTGTATGTTTTTTACGTCCCGTACGAGAACTTTTCACTCATATAGAGACATCACCATATACCAGTGAAGGGCTTCAAATTTAGACCTTTACTCGGCACTCAGGGCCATTGAGCAGTGAGGGATCTTTATTGTGCCAACGCCTGCCGTGACAAGGGGCCTTGGTTTTTAAGGTCTCATCCGAAGGACCCGCAACTTTCACTTCAAAGTGCCAAGTGCTTGGCAAGGGAACAGTTGCTACCTATTTTTTATCCACTCAGGTCAGTCACGGCCGGGGCTCGAACCCACAACCTTCCGATCACGCTCTTCTTGTGCTAAATGAGTTTACTGTACAAATATATGTGAGAATGAAATTTTCATGAGCAGACAGATAAAATAAATGAAAATAAGTGATTTACAGTAATATAGCTTATTCTTCTAAACCACATTGTACTGTATGCATTACACATAGATATTAGTGCTGATTCTTCCATTGTTCAAATTATCAAACTTTATTTACCTCATGCCCTTGTCCTTTAAACTTCACATCTTGGAAAACCTTAGGTAAAACAGGTATTCCTCTTTCACCAGTCAACCTGAAAAAAGTTTGTTTTTTTTTAGAGATACACATGTATGACAAGGTGGATAACAGCCTTTTGAAAAGCTCTTGACATTTTGTAAGCATTTATAAATACATAACCTTTTTTTTTAAAAATTAGATATACCAAAAATCATGACTTTCAATGAAATAAATTGATAATGCCACATAAACTTGCCTATTATTCAGTCTACTTGTAAGTCCTTTGTATTCTTATAAATTATTTTGGAGGGATTTGCCACTGACTTATTTGCAATTTAATTGGTACAACATTTTGTCAGAATCGGTTGACAATTTCAGAAAAAATCATGCTCTATTGTTTTTACCTATGTTTCAAATAATACTCTGGGAAATGACACCAATATTTAATCTACCAATTTCATACCAATACTCTAATGTATTTACCTGTGTTCATATAATATTTTGGGATATGACATCAATATTTAACCTTTCATTCTCAACAAATTGAACAGCTATAAAGAAATATTACATTTTATAGCCATCCAGAAAAATATGTTTCTCGGTCTCCTCTGTAAGTCGGGCATAGAGTTATGGACTAAAATCTAAATCCCCAAATTTTTAAATCTGACTTATAGGTAAGTAGATATAGTACATGTACTTCCATGTTTTTTTTTTAATACTTTGACTTCCATTACTTTGGAAATATTTTTTTTCAATTATGTTTGGACTAATACGTACATGTACTTCCATTTTGTTTTTAAATACTTTGACTTCCATTACTTTGGAAATATTTTTTTATATTATGTATTGTTTCTTGGCCAATCTGTATCTCTAATTCAGATTCAATTTTTTTCATTCTTTATCAAATCAAAATGAATTTGAACTATACCTCTGCTTTTAATTTATCATAATATGATTAATATATAACTATATCATTATATAGAATTACGAAATTTTAGGAAAATTTTTGTCCTTTACCAAGCAGAAAAAGATTCTAAAAAAGCAGACATTACCTAGGGTTACAAAAATAAAAGATTTTTTTCTCGTCTGAATCACTATTTTTTTTTCTGAATTTTGAATTAGACTGACAATTCATTTTGCCTCAGGAACAATTTCATAAAGGATGATTATTCGAAGATAAAAAAAACAACATCAAGTTTATACTAAGAACAATGATCAATATGACTTGTAATTTGTTGTATGGATGGAAAAGGGTGAAACAGATGCCATTTTTCAATGGGGTATGCTTCCAAGAAATCCATACTTTGTTGACAATGTCCACATTCCCTACCGTCTGCACAATGTCTGAAATATTTACCAAATCTGTGGTTGTTTGACCATTTTTAAAATAACACTCTGTGAAATGAATAAAGCAATTAATCCAAATCACACGCTAACTTAAATAATTGTTATGGCACCTCATTTAATTCTTTCCTAATGATTTATTTTTCTACTGTTGGCCATTATAGGATTATATTTACAGGTTTTGGATCTAAAATGTTGACAAGAAAATAAGTAATGACATCTGAATTCATAGTGTGGTACCTTGCTTAACCACAAAACAGCACGAGTCCATTTTATTTTACAGGATCATGTACCATTATGTCATTACATAAGGGATCTTAGTATTGTGTGTTATAGATTTCATCTTCATCAGGGACATTAATGATTATTTGCAGTTTCAAAAAGAAAGAAAAAAATTCTCTCTCTCTCTCTATACATATAACTTTAGATTAAAAACTATAGAGGTTTTAGAGGGATTGTATCTCCACAGAGAAAATGTCCCAAAATCTTCCATGCAACTAGTAAAGGTGCCCTAAAAATGTTTTCTTAAAATAAGTATCTGATGATGTCATTCTGGACATCTATGTCCAGAGGTCTTGTAGGTCCCAGGTAAATCTAACACCTGTGTGGGAGTTGTACCTGGCCATATTCCGCCTGTTTTTCAGATTATTGATGTACCTGTCACTACAGGCCTACATCAACCCTAGCAATAAATACTGTAGTACTTTGTCTTTCCTGTCACACTGGACCATCTACAAAGTCAAATCTACACTTCTCTATGGAAATATTGGGACCACCATAACTGTAACTACATCTTACTCATCTATACCAGCTAAACACCTTTCCATTTTCAGCTGCAGTAATTATAAATTGCTCATTTATACCTGCTCAGTAATTATAAATCAGTTTTACTTGACATTAATCATTCTTTGGGTATATGCTATGTGGTGGTGTGACAGTGGTGTGCATTCTATCTTAAATGTCTGAACCCTCTGTAATATATTTAAGATGATGCTTCTTCCTCTCTGTTTAAACATTGGCCAGAGATAAAGCATCACTGTTTTGTAGTGAATTTTTATGGCACCATTCCGAAAAGGTTGTAGAATTCTTATGAATACATAATCCCCATAGAACACAAGCATTCTGAGAGTATTGCATTAACAATACTAGTCCCCTACCGGCAAGTGTAATCTGGTTCCCATTTAAAAATTATTAATGCCTTAATTCCATCAATAAATCATTGAAGCAGAACATAATACAAACTTGATCTATAACTCATCAAGGTAGACTCACATACCAAAAATCAGCTCAATATCTATCTGCAAGCATTTAGGAAAAAAGGGCGGAAATCCCTTAAAAATTAGAAAGGCAGTAATTCCTTCAAAAAATCATTGAAGCAGAAAGAAATCCAAGATACACTCACATACAAAAAAAAGGTCAATATCTGTTAGCATTTAGAAACAAGAGGCCCATGGGCCACAGCGCTCACCTGAGTAACTTTGGCCTTGCTGTTTTTCATGTGATTTCTCCCCCCCCCCCCCCCCCGTAGTGCTTATTGTGGTCCCGCCCTACCCCCAGGGGTCATGATTTGAATAATTAGAATCTACACTAGGTACCCCAGGATGCTTCCACATAAGTTTCAGCCTTTCTGGCCCAATGGTTCTTGAGAAGAAGATTTTTAAAGATTTTTTCTGCATATTTCAATGTAAAACTTGGATTCCCTATTGTGGCCCTGCCCTACCCCCGGGGGTCATGATTTGAACAATTTAAAATCTACACTACCCCAGAATGCTTCCAAATTAGTTTCAGCTTTTCTGGCCCAGTGGTTCTTGAGAAGAAGATTTTTAAAGATTTTTACTACACATTTCAATGTAAAACTTGGATTCCCTATTGTGGCCCCGCCCTACTCCCAGGGGTCATGATTTGAACAATTTAAAATCTACACTACCCAAGGATGCTTCCAAATAAGTTTCAGCTTTTCTGGCCCAGTGGTTCTTGAGAAGAAGATTTTTAAAGATTTTTACTACATATTTCAATGTAAAACTTGGATTCCATATTGTGGCCCCCACTACCCCCAGGGGTCATGATTTGAACAATTTAGAATCTGCACTACCCCAGGATGCTTCCACGTAGGTTTCAGCTTTTCTGGCCCAGTGGTTCTTGAGAAGAAGATTTTTTAATGACCCCACCCAATTTTTGTATTTTCTTGATTATCTCCCCTTTGAAGGGGACCTGGCTCTTCATTTGAACAATTTAAACTCCCCTTCACTCAAGGATACTTAGTACCAAGTTTGGTTAAAATTGGCCCAGTGGTTCTTGAGAAGAAGTCGAAAATGTGAAAAGTTTACAGACGAACGGACGGACGGACAGACAGACGGACGGACGGACAACGGGTGATCAGAAAAGCTCACTTGAGCTTTCAGCTCAGGTGAGCTAAAAAGTGCAGAAAACCGTAAAAAAAAAAATAAAAAGGCAGTAATTCCCTCAAAAATCATTGAAGCAGAACAAAATCCAAACTTGACCTGTAACTCTTTAAGCATCCTCACAACGTCAAGGTTTTGTGATTTCGGAACTCCACACAAACCCTTGACATAAGTCGTTATTTAAAAGTTGGGCTAGAAAGCTACTATTTCATTTGTTCCTGGTCTAGGACTGGAACCAATCAGAAAACAGCTTTTATTGTAGGTAAGTTTTGTAAACAAATATGACTTGTCTTTAAAATGGAAAGTGTCAATATTGTAGGATTTGTGACTAGTTACTTTAAATGAAACATCGGGGATTAATTTTTTGAAGATCGTCCTCCTTACAATCACAAGATATGCTCTGGAGTTAGGCAATTTGACAACCACAGATTAGAAAGATATATTTTCATTGGTTAGTTTATAATTACCCATTATGTCATGTGTGACAAAAAGCCCAACTTTTAAATAAAGACTTATGTCAAGGGTTTGTGTGGAGTTCTGAAATCACAAAACCTTGGCATTGTGAGGATGCTCTTTAAGATACACTCAGAAATCAAAAATCAGCTCAATATCTGCAAGTGTTTAGAAAAAAAGTGCGGAAAACCATGTGGGACAGATTGACGAAGGACAGCTAGACAGAGGAGGAGGAAACCTATAGTCCCCTGCTGTTTCACCGTTAGGGGACTAATAAACAAGCATTCTGAGAGTATTGCATTAGCAATACTAGTCCCCTACTGGCAAGTGTAATCTGGTTCCCGTTAAAAATTGAAAATGCCATAATTCCTTCAAAAATCATTGAAGCGGAATGAAATGCAAACCTGATCTATAACTAATCAAGGAAAAGTTACATACCAATCAAAGGCCTGAAGGCCTGAGAGGCACATTGCATTGAAGATAGAAAAATCAACAACAAAAAAAAATTCATCTTACATGTTGAGGGAAAATCAGGAATAAAAATAAAAATTTAAATATCGTTTCTTTGAGGTTAAAAAATGTTTTGAGTCTTGGCATTTTTAGCCAGTCGGTTTGGAGAGGTCAAACAAACATTTTTTTTTAAGATATTCAATTATAATTCATTGATATTTACATGTAAATTAATTTATAATTGATTTTAATTATATTTTTATTTTTTATTTTTATTTTTTCATTATTATCATACATGTAGTAGGAAGATGAAATATAATGAATGAGAATTTAGAAAGGAATGATTATTGAATAATTCTATATAATATCATATCTGAATTTTTTTTAGTTTCTTCATTATGTGCACTTTTTTAATATCAATACTTTGTCTTAGACTAGTTTTCTCAATCAAAATGGCATAATACGTAAAGCATAGTGGGATACATGATATGTTCATATAAATAATACGGGACTAAAATAATTAAAAAAAAAAAAAATAAAAAAAACAATCGGGCATGGTATACCATATACTATGAAACCCCTCAATGGCGGACGATTTCCTCCGATATTTTCGATATAATTGGCTCTATAAAACCTTGGTGGTAAGGATTGAACTTAAAACGTCTATGTTATAAGGTATTGGTAATCCTATTAATTGAAATCCACAGCCATTGCATGTTTTTATCAGTCATTTAATCATATTCAACCGACATTTCACCAAAAACCGATCATTTCACCATTTCATGTCACCCTCTTTGGATTTTTTTCCCGAAAGGTGGCACTTGTTGCAAATATTTATTCAGTTGGACATCTTACTATTCGTTTCATCGAAGTGACAAAATAATAATATCCCTTCTATTTCAATAAAAAACAACCATCTTGTTCCTATTGTTAGTGAAGTTTTATAAAATAAAATTATTGTATATTTTTCTCAGATATTCCTACAAGCAATCATGTCGTCTTACAAGGCCTAATAATTTATAGTACGAGCTGTTGTTATGCAAATAGATCTTACTCCACGTCGCGCATGTTTGTTTGTTGTTGTTTTCTCTCTCCCTCTCTCTCTCTTTTTTTTTGTTTGTTTCATTTTTGTTTTCTTTCTTGCTTTCAACGTATAAACAACATATACCTCAGTATATGTGAGAGTTTATGTTATTTGATATTTAAAAATAGACAATGAATATCACCAACTCTTCAATATACATTTGCACTATTTTCAATAGCATATTTAGAATCAATATTGTGGAGTCCTTTGTCGCGGCAGTAAGAAAGAAAGAATCGGGGGTCGTCAGCAATGAGGCTACATCGCTGATAGCGATGCGCCTCAAAAATCAGCTCAATATCTGCAAGCGTTTAGAAAAAAAAATGCGGAAAACCCTTAGAAATTAAGAAGGTTGTAATTCTGACAAAAATCAATGAAGCGGAATGAAATGCAAACTTGATCTGTAACTCATCAATATACAGATACCAAAAATCAGCTCAATATCTGCAAACATTTGGGGAAAAAGTGCGGAAAACCAAGTGGGACAGACTGACAGACAGAAAGCTAGACAGACAGATGGACTGAGGCAGAGGAAACCTATAGTCCCCTCCAGTTTCACCGGTAGAGGAATAAAAAGACTGCTTTTGAAATCAAGGACCCCCCTTCTTTAAAAATTTGACTTTACATTTTCTGCAGGGCTCTCACACCCAATTTTGGTACTGGGGGCCGGGGCCAAATTAAGGAATTGGGAAAAAAGCATTGTTTTTATAAAAATTGGGAAATTTTTACCAGTCATAATTTTAACTCTTAAAACAAGAAAATCAAATAAACACAGAATAACCATATAAACTGAAAACAAATCATCTTATTTATTCAAGGTAGATCTTAATAAGACATGTAATTGACTGTTCAGATGTTTAGAACTTTAAAATAAAATGTTTGTCTTTAGATGTCCTGAAATGCTCTAGGGCTCTGGTCAGAACTTTAAATGTTTGTCTTTGGATGTCCTGAAATGTTCTAGGGCAGGGTTTCAATAACCACCAACTCAGAATTAGATTCTGTTAATTGTAGAGCAGCAGTTTGTTGTTTAAACAAAGTATCTATTTTCTTACATTTGTAAGTTGTCTTAGTAGAAATCTTTTTTCTATAGTATTCACATTATGCGACATGTTTGTGAATAAACAAGTCGTACCTAAGAGAATTCGTAATTTACTATAGTTGACTCTCGCTTTCATATTAAACTGGTTCCAGCATGTATACGAACTACCAGTTTACAACACGGAAGTGTTTCCTTCATATCTTCACAGTGCTTTTACGACTGTCAAAGATATGCTTTTTATTTTTTTTAAAGTAATAAATTTTAAGCAATCATACATTGGGAATTTTTACACTCAAATTTGGGGAAAAGGGTGCCTTTTTCACGTTGGGAACAGGGCCGAATATCGGCCCCAATTAAAGAGAATCGAGAGCCCTGTTCTGAGAATGTTAACAAACAGGTATCAATCTAATGAATCTATTACAAATACAAATCATAAACAGGACAAAAAAAAATGGATCTCTGAAAACATTAAAGGTTGGTCAGATGCCTAATTCTATTTGTGGGAAGATGGAAAATCTTGGCAGTAAAGTTGAAGATCCAAAGTACATTCCTCTCCCAGATAAATACAATCAGATAATTCAGGAGTGGACGGGATTAGGAAGTCATGAAGTGGGCCCTAACAAGTGACCACACTTTGGCGGACATGGCCTCTCTGTTTAAACACTGACCAGAGATAAAGTAAAAATAAACATTGATTGGGTGACCTCTTGACCAGGTCAACATCTCAACACTGGAGGGGAAACATAGATTATAAACAATACATCACAGAATACACAACAAATATCTACCCATCATGCTTAACCAGTACTTGATCAAGTTTTTTAGCAGTATTGAACCCTAGAATGTGTGGAAAGAGATGTCTTATCTTAGTTGTTCTTGAAGACTGGTATATGACAATGTCAACTTTAAGCACTTTCAAGTGTGGTAGGTTGTAAAAACATTATGCCATTCAGACAATTACCAGTGATAAGGCTTATGTCTGAGCCCCTCTGACAAATTTCTTGTAAATCTCCTGGCCATTACACTGAAGTCATACATGTGATAAATTTTAGACCCAAATACTGTACAGGGGTCTTCAAAATAATTAGAATTTAGGTGAAAATACTGTCCATTGTTCATCAAAAAACTGTACAAATATTGACCAAAAACCAATGTAAGAGATTCAATTTTTTTTACTAGTAAACTTCAAATCAACCAACAAGTTTAGCACTGCATGCAGTGTTACATGTAATTACTCATTTCAAGAAACTTTTGCAGCTTTAAGAATTTCAGCAATTCCCATGGTCAATGCTGAATTTTGTAAAAAGACTTCCATAGTATAGCGTTTTACACAAATGTAACAGGAGAGGAGAAAAATACGACGGACCAGACTGGGATTCAAACCCAGGCCCCCTGAAATTCTAGTCAGGCACTTTACCAACTGAGCTATCTGGCCACCGGAGATCGAACCCGTCTGACCGCCCCTCAAGAATCTCATCATCTCCAGTTATCTGCTTTTTTTAATGATACTAAAAGCATTTCTCTTACTCTGTGTTAGAATGGACAATACTTATGCATAAGAAGAGCAAAAAAAGTCATGGATTTAATTTCTTGTTGTTGTCACACAGTTGCTCTCATTCTCGTCATTTTTCTCTTTGAAATGTCTTTCTACTGACAAAATTTGAACAAATTGCAGCTGAAAAACCCCTTATAAAAACAACATTTAGCCTAAGAAAAAGCTTTGATATGTTGTAATTATTGCAGGAAATTTTCACACCTTCGATCATGACGTTTTGTTTACATTAACCAAGCAAAACAGTAAGTCATGCATCAAATGAGATTTCCAGTGTTGCGAGAGCAAGAATTAAGGTCAGACGATACGTTCCTCAGATATCTGTTATGTAAATCTTCGTAATATGTGAAAAACATTCAAAATTTTAATTACCTTCTGATTTCTAAACCAGTTTCTAATCGTCTTTAAAAAATCCAAACCCTAAAAAAATTGATATTGTCAAATTAAGTTTTTTCCAAAAGGATTATATAAGAAAACTATTCTCTGGTATCTTGCACAAATGCCTGGTAAGGTACCTCAATTTCTTGTGAGTAAACTTGTTAATGTAGCAATACTTCAACGACAAAAGCTTTGAAAAAATTTTATATTATTGAGGAACGTATCGTCTGTCCTTAAAGAGAAATGAAAGTTTCCAGTAAATAATTCAAAATACAGGACAAATTTTCATTTCCCGTGAATTTTGGTGTACCACAGTGAGCCTGTGAAAGGGGTCGAAAATACGTGACATTTTGTGTACAGCAGGTACACGTATATCAGGCCCAAAAAATAATAGTCTTGTTTCCTGCTACCCGACCAACACTATTTTTTTGTGTCCGACCCTTAAGTTTTTTTTTTAGTTTTGGAAGAAAAAAATGGGAATTTCCAGAATTTCATGGTTCTGACACTGTAATCAGTTTCCACGTTAACACAAAACAAGCATTTCATGAAACTCTCCATGTTTTAAATATGGACTTTCATAGAATACCACTTGAGTTACGCATCAAAAGACATGAAATTTAACTTTAAAAGACAATATTGACCTGTGACATGTTTAATTTGATCCTGTATTAGTTCACATACAAAAAATGCCGTCGAAAAAAATAAAATAATTTTCCTACCTACCCTTTTTCTTTCAGGCTGGTAGCAGCATGGAAACAAGGCTAATATTTTTTTGGCCTCACATGTATATGAAGTTTTCAGAAAAGGCATGTAGGTAAAGCTAAGAGTTGTTGTTTGGGGGTTAACTGTCTTGTAATATTGCTTTTGTTTAGGAAGTAAAGTTTATTGCATCACTTTTCCAATAAAGAAATCTGATAGGAAACCAACTGTGGTTGTGGTCTGAAACAAAACCCAGTCTTACCTGGTAGCATCTAACTTTGGTTGTGGTCTACGGACAACCTTCTTGGCTGCTCCCTTTGATAAATCCTTCAATCTGGACAACACTTCTGCACTGTTTTCTGCAAATTTTAATAGATTGTCAAAATTGATATGTTGGTCTCTGTCCCTAATTTCCAATTGCTACCACTTGAAAACTAACAGATTAAAGCAATGATTTATTTCTAGAAATTTTGAATATAGGTTTACAAACTGGTTTCATTCATGCAACAACATTCAACACAATTTTTAAAATTTGTTTTTACATTTTTTGCGTAATGATGACCCTTTGGGGGATGTTTTAGGGGGTTAAAAGTATTTTTTGAATTTTAATTTATGCAGAGAAAACACTGTTAGAGATTAACATCAAATAAAAAAGTATGTCAGTGTTACAGATCTATTGAGAAGACCAGTCTCTTAACAAAATAAAACAGCATATATGGAAAGAGATGTGTCCCTACCATCATTTTCCTCCCCATTCTGTGTTCCCTCTGCCCCTTCCTCATCTTCTGGGAGATCTGGCAGGGGTCCCACAGACAGGAATTCTTCTTCCTCCTCCTCAAAGATCTCGCCCATATCTAAATCCACTGACTCCATGCTTTTTCTCTTCAAAAGCCTGCAATAAGAAAGAATAATATTAAAATTTAAAATCACAAAAAATTAGCATTCCTTGCCATTTAAGTCCATTATCAAAGAGATTTTACATGAACAATAAATGTTTGCAAGTTGAATTCCCAAAGATTTTTTTTTTTTTACTTTGCTCTGGAAGTGTTTCATTTGATAATTGCTACAATCTACAATATGTGGAAGATTTATAAGTCTTTTCCATGTCAACCAATGAACAAAAGAATATACTGAAGATGTGATCTCCAATCCAGAGTTTTGGCATTGAAATTAGTGTACATGTGCTCTGGTTGCGTTTTAACTTTGATATCTTCCAAATTAAAAATTAATACCACTATCCTTAATTTTCACCTGAGAAAAATGATTTACTGAAGTTTATAGAGACCATGGCTGGATTGTAAAGATCATAGCAGCTATTCAGTCCTAGTTAGTGCTATGAAGTTAAATGAACATTAGGATAGCCCAAATGAGAGTTTCTTAAAACAATGCATTTAATAGACATGAATATCAAGCCACTAACAGTGAACAAGTTAGGCTAGCTGCTACGATCTTGAATGCAGACAATTGTATGATTCACAATGGTGACCTACTACTCCATTGATAATCATAGCTAAAACATTAAGTCTAATACTCCCATCTCTCTCTCTCTCTCTCTCTCCCCCCCCCCCCTGAACAAAAAAGGGGGAAAATCTTACACACCACAAATATCAATACAGGGAAAACATTTACACATTACTTCATATTCATTGAAAATATTAAATAAAAGAATAATTAAATGAGTTTTTCCATGAATTCTAATAATACAGAAAAAAAACTTTGACTGGGGCTTACTTTACTAGTTGTTGTTAATAAAATTGCAGCATGCAGGGTTTTTTTTAGGTCTTAAAATCTAGGGCCTGGACCTTTCCATTTGGGAAAAAATAGTGTCATTTAGTTGAAATTGGGAAAAATATCATAATTCACATTTTTCTAGATAAATTCAAATAGGAGCCATTTTTTGATTTGCAAAGCATTTATTGACTAATTTACATTCAATAAATCTTTACTGAAAATCAGCTTCACTTAATTGTTTGCTGTTCTGAAATTTTATTCAATTTAAGTTTAATTTTTTCCCATTATATTTAGAATAACATTAATGTCATGTTTCAAATTGTCTTTTGGGAATTTTCTTCAATGAAATTGGGAAAAACACACACTTTTTACCATTGGGAATGGGGCCTATTACAGGCCCCCTACGACCCCTAAAAAAACCCCTGGCATGTCATAATTTAATAGACCATTAAACTTAATGTGGTACAAATTAATATAAAAATAAACCCATAAAAGAGTTTCCTCAGACAATATCTCTTCTTTGATATACATGTATATATAATATACATATAGACTAAAGTAAGATACAAACTCTGAGGAGGAAATACTGTTAAATTTTTAATTGGTTAATCACAGAGAAAATAGCACCTGATTGGTTAGTAGGAAATTATCACATAAGATTACTAGTCAATAAATTTTCAACTTCTAGTTATTTCTTTGAACGTTTTTATCATTTTTTCCCAATGTCCTTGATTGTATTCAGTCATTAGCTGCATTTGTTTCATAAGCTTTTTTGTGATCTACACTTTCTGTCTACAGTATGTGTAATTTAATTCTGCATGTATATTCTTGACTTTAATTTTGACAATTAAGACTTTTGTTGAGGTTGATACACAGTCTCACTGTAAACAGCCATGGACTTTACAACTGACTTTGACAAAGTCCAAAGCTCTATATATAACCCATGTGCTTGACCTACTCCAATGGCTCTATATACAACCCATGACCCTGACCTACTCTAACGGCTCTATATATAACCCATGACCCTGACTTACTCTAACGGCTCTATATACAACCCATGATCTTGACCTACTCCAATGGCTCTATATACAACTTATGACCCTGACCTACTCTAACAGCTCTATATAAAACCCATGACCTTGACCTACTCTAACGGTTCTATATACAACCCATGACCCTGACCTACTCTAACTGCTCTATATACAACCCATGACCTTGACCTACTCCAATGCCTCTATATACAACCCATGACCCTGACCTACTCTAACTGCTCTATATACAACCCATGATCTTGACCTACTCTAACAGCCTTCACATAAAGATATGACACTGTCAAGAGCTTCTGAGTTGTGATAGAAATATGAAAGGGCACAGATTGCTTAGCTGTTTCCAACAAACAATAAATATATTTGCACTTTGGGGAAATTCCAAAATGATATACTTAAATTTTGTTATAATATAAATTACATATATACTTCATTTGTCCATACACATGATAAAGAGGCTTCAACTTTCTTTTATATTAGTTTTCTTTTCATAAAAAGAAAGAAAATATTGCTTACTGCTGCTAAAGAAAGAAAAATTATGAAACTTTTTTGAAAGGTTCCTACCGTTTAAGTGTGTAAGGCTCCGTCATGGTTGTTTAACTATTTGTTATATTCATGTCCACTGAAAACATTTAGTAATCAGCTAAGTTATGTAATCATGGTCAAGTGTCGGTCAGAGAAACCAATCAAAACATCCCATGTCGGACTAGAATATATGGGAAGAAAACTTGCTTTAAAAATGATGAAAATCTCACAAAAATCCCTTAAAATATGTTGATGTCAATTGATAGTAGTATAGTAAATTTCTGTTGCTTGTTTTTTAAATCCTTCAAGTCTATAACTATTACATCTGTATAGCACACAGTGTGAGAGGATTAAAGGCTTGATGATTCATTCACAAACAATACACAAATATCTCTCAAGCTTTGTTCAAAACATTTAACACCTCCTCCCCCTCCTTAGAATGTTCAAGACAAAAAATATCTAATCCTCTCAGAATGCCACTGACCACCCAGTTATGTGACTGGACAGAAATTGATTGACTCCCAGACAGCCAATAACCAAGTCTGGAATATATTTATAGCAGGTCAAGATGACCCCCCAATGCATGGTCATCATAAATAAGGTCAGTTCCTTCAGTACATAAATAAACAATAAAGCCTACTCTCACAATGTGTGACACATTCAATATTATAGGAAAGGAAGTACATGTACCATGTGTTTGTCACAGTGGACAAAGCATGTATAATAAATGATTTTATTTAATTAATATCTGTACTAATTTACACCATTGCTTTAGTGCAGTGGTGGATCCAAAATTATTCAACATTTAAAAAAAAAAAAACTGTTGGAAAGGAGTTTAAGACAGGAGTGGGTTTAATACATTAAATATATATAAAATTTGACCGAAAAAATGTTTTTAAGATAAAATTATTAAATTCATATATAAAATATAACTACAATTTTACATCTCTTAGGCTTTATATCTAAATACATATAAATAAGGATATATTGGTCACATTAGACCACTATTATTTATCAATCTGAATTATTTAACTGGCCTACAAGGAAATCAAGACCCTGCTGCATTTTAGTTAGAAATAATTATAAACCTATCCTGGGGTCTGAGTCATGAATCCAAGGGCCATGAATTTCACAATTTTTGAACAGGACTAAGTGTTTATAATCATGCAAAGAGTTTCCCTGCTAGATGTTCTTGAGAAAAGACTTTCAAAGATCAACTTTTCAATAAATGACCAAGCTCAATCCTGGGGCCTGAACCCAGGAGCCATGAATTTTACTAATTTGATAATTAAATAACTGAGTACTAATTGAAGTCATGTACAGAGTTTTGAAAACTTCCATCAGTAATGGAGATTTTCTAATGTGTAATATGTAAATTAAAGATATGACCAACTTAATCTCCACCTGATGCTGATTTATAAATCTGATATACAGCTTAATTCACATTATAATCAGGCCATCCTTAAAAAAATATTTGTTTTCCCCTCTCCCCGATCGCAAGGCTAAAAATGGCCAGACTCAAAACCTTTTTTAACCTCCAGGAAACAACTATTATTTTTATGCATTTCTGAAAGTAGATTTTTAAAAATTAGCACTGATGTTGAAATTTTCTTGGAAAAAATTTTCTCCCCTACATACTGACCCAAATTTTTCATCCTGAGTCCGGAGAGGGCAAACAAACATTATAATTTTAAAGTTGGCCTCATGCAAACATTTTGTGTGCTAAATTTTAAAACAGTAAAACAAAGATTTTCAAAGACGTAATATACCAGTATTCCAATATATAACCAATTCAGCCCCATCTTACAGCCCAAACCATGGACCCCGCCATGGACAAAAATACTGCACAAAATTTAGCGCAGTCAAAATGTATAAAGTGGTTTGTGCAATCAAGAATTAGTGCTACTAATGTATTAAAATAGAAACAAAAGGGCCTTAATGGTCACCTGAGTATAATACAACACTGTAATTTAAGGATACACAGAGGTATAAAATAAAACAAAAATAAACTGATAAATGATAGAATCTATGTTGCCCAAAAGCAAGAGAAATCAGATGATCAGGGATCAACAAAATAATTAGTTTATTTATAATCAGTAACAAATGTTAACCCTTTCAACACTGTAGACCCATACATCGATCTGATAAAATTTAATCTTGGAACACAGTAGACTGATTCATCGGTCTCATCGGTCATCGGTCTCAGATACAAAACTGAAAGTAAACGTTTATTCTTAGAAATAGAAAGTATTTTCTGTACAAGATCTTTCGCTATGGATTATGGGTAGATGGATATAAATATCCGTTTACAAATATGGCAGACCACATGGCGAAAATCATGGAAAAATAAGAAAAATTAGATAAATCTTAAAGGGTTTTTATCACATCTCAAAATTTTTTGATATGACAAAGTTTACATGCTATTAAAATCATGTATTAAAAAATCTTTGCTAGAAAATTAATATTGTTGATGTTTCAGCGATTCAAAGTTTGAATTTCTCAATATGCATATTTTGATCGCCGATGCTATGCGCCATTGCTCTGATGTCATATGTGTCAATCCTGGTCAAGCAAAGTATGTGTAT